TGTAGCGAGTGCTGATGAGATTTATAACTGGGTCCTGACTATAAATCACATTTTTTTAATCAGCCTTAGAAAATTTTTATTGCTGTTTTCATCCTTCATTTTATATGTACTATCTCCTCGGATCAGGAGGACCTATATCAAGGTGTAACTCTTACTACATACCCCAAAAAATAGCACAGATGTTTTCCTAAGCGAAGATAAGAGATTAATGTAGGCATTTAGGGATTCCAAGGAGTCAGCTTGAAGAAATAAGTTTATTTTGAGCCTATTGTATTTGTGTTCATGGCAAAATTTGAAAGATCCACACAAAGGGCTAGACCCAGCCCTGCTGAAACCAGTGATATTTGTCCAGAGGATGGAGCCAACACGCTGGAAATGGATCAAGGACATGGCACGGGATGACAAACTGCTCCATCATTAGCTCTTAATTTAAGCTTAACCCTCCTTTTTAAGGAGAGTGGGTGAGAACAGCAAACAAACCCCATATCCATCACCACATCCACACAGTTCCCAACTCCTATTTATAGTTTTGCTTCGAAATTAAAGGGAAAAATGCAAAGCATGATGCCAGAGGGGAGAGAGAGGGAACAGCTCCGGCCTGTGGCTGCTGCTTTATTTCCAGAGTGCTGTCCACCACGCTCAGCACTGCTGCAAGCTCGGCCTGTGCCAACACCCAGCTCCTAACAAAGCTGCAGACACTTCCCCTGGAGTTTCCTAGAGAGCAAAAACGAACAGGTTTCCATGGCTAAGATGCTTTAATTATCGACAAGTTCAGGCAGGCCAGCAGCTCCTGTCTTTTTTTCTGACTGTTCCATGACATCCTCCTGTCCTTCTCCACCACCTGGACCTTTCTGCGTGGCAGCACCAGCACCCTGGAGGCTCCCAGGGCTCTGCTCCTCCTTAGAGAGGCTCTGTGAGTCACTGCCTTGCTTCGCTTCTCTTACTCCAAAATGCTTTTTTAAAATTAACACACTAAGTTAAAAGAAAGCACACCCAGCACGAAAGCCCAAGGAACTATTTAATAGCTATTTTAATCTAAACAATCGCAAGTAGCTTTTCAACAAAGGATTTGAACAGTTCCAGATTCACCTTTTCTGACTGATTTTGTGCCGCCACCTGACACACCCCCAAATTTGCCTTGCAATCACTCCAGTAATTCAGGGCCTTGGGTCATTTCAGACCTTGTATTCCTTGGAATGTAACACAATTCCCATCTTAGCCATTTAAAATCAGACCTTTGGCTCTTCACAACCAACGAAGAGCTGCGTGGCCTCACAAGAGGAGCCCTGAGCAGTGCTCAGCCCTCAAAAGGGATATGGGGAGAGCTTGCCAGAACACAAATCATTTTAACTCAAAATCCCCCAAACTGAGCTGACAGAAAGCAAGCACACACACCTGGAGGCTTCGTGCTGCACACATCATGCTCACTCACATTTCTTTTTACACTGACTGAAAATACAGGTCAAAGTCACTTGCAGTGTTACAAGTGGTGCTAATTCAGCTTTGGGAACAGGTATCTAAGTTATCCCACACAAGCAGAGTGCTTTTGAATTTAGTTTTGCTCAGCTCTTGTTAAGAACACAGCATTCAATGCTCAGAATCCACAAAAATGCCTGAAAAGGCTTAAAAAAATCACACCTTTAGGTCCTCCTTTTTAAACCAGAAACTCAGTGTCTCTTCAGCCCCCTTCACTCCCATTGCACACACAAAGGGAAGAGCACTATCTCTTATAAATACTGTAAAATTTACCGTTTCTCTTGTAAATTCCTTACAATTTGCGATTTCTGTAAAATTTTTCTCTTCACATCAAAGAAAAGAAAATACTTTCTGTGCCAACTCACTCATCCCTGCAAACTCAAACCTGCCCACGTTTCATTTGACCACCCTGAAGAGTCAGGTGGGGGATTTGCCTCAGAGAGGTATGAACTAATACGGGATGAAAAACAAGCTGCTGTTTTCTACCATTCCCTCGATATTCGGGCTACTTTCACAAGTTTCCGGGCGAGCCGTGGAGGAGTTGTGCGGGCAGAAGCTGCACTCTGCAGGCACCAGCAGGAGCAGCACATCCCTTGCTCAGCCGAGCAGTGCCCCCGTATGGCAGGAGGTTGAATATTGCTCTAATAAAAGATTTTTTCCCCCCTCAATATTGTTTCTCCAACGCCCCCGGCTGCTGCCTCAGCTAAAGGGAACCCCTGACACACGTTCTTTTACACCTCGTGGTACTTGCCCAGCTTTTACAAGTTACCACGGTTATAAATCTCCCCCCAGTTCAGGGTTTTCCAACCCAAATGCCTTCATTTATGGCAAAAAACGAGCAACAAGTGCTTCAGGTCCATCTCCTAATTCCTCCCCTCTGTCAAACCTCAGGAGCATCCCCCTGCCTCGCACACCTCAGCCCCGGCTCAACACCCCCTGCCAGAGCATATTTACCACCTCAAAAAAGCACCTTTGCTTCAAAGGCACTGTGCAAATACTTAAAAAGATGTATTTGCAGAATCTCAAATGCTACAGCAAGCAGGCCTGTGTATTCAGGAGGCAAGAGGATACAAACAGACTCCCACATGGAATCATCACCTGCCCCACTGACCCAAAATATTCCTGTTTCCTGGGGAGCTGGGGTCAGAGAAAGCAGCTCAATAAAAAAGTGGTATAAAATACAAAGGCAACTCCTTCAAGAGGAAGAGTTTGTTAAAGGGAATAATCCTCCTTTAAGCAGATGAAAATGTAATCTTAAATAATACAACCTTGTAGCACATGTACACATAATGATATCAGAAGAACCCAGACTTCATTTCAGCAGATCCCAGGCTTAAGGCATCAGGTGAAGTGAACTGAGGTTGTTTCAACTGCCAAAAACCCAAATCCACAGCTCCCAGAAACCATTACAGCTCTAATTCAATATTTGACCAAGGACATTGCAATTAAACAACAACAAAAAAAAGAATCACAGACCAAAGTATTTTCTTTATTATTCTGCTCCTGTTGTTTTCTATCGTAACTGCAAGAAAAAAATAGCAACTGCTTTCCTGAAGTTCTTCACTAATTTCAGATTTCACAGCAATAAAAAACATAATTCAAATGGCTTAGAAGTTTACCCCTCAAAAGAGAAAAGTATGAGCATGACATACAGGCTGCATATACACAAACATTTTAATTACTATCATACCCAAATAATTCTCCTGGAAAATAAAAATGTCCTCTGACAATTGTTCAATCCTCTGTCCTACTTGCACCTACCTCTCGTGCCTGAGTCCATCTTCCATTCCCAGGAAACACAGAGTGCTGGGACATCAGGGAGCAGAGCAGCACAGAGCCCTCAGGAAACCAGGAGAAAGAGGAAAGAGGGCTGGTGCTGCCCTAAAATAGGCTGAGGGACACAGGTGCCCCACCAAGATCATCAGATGGGACCAGCTGGGTGGTTTGTTTGATGTCATCAGCCCATCTCCTTATTCCTCCTGTAAAATCCCTCCTCCAAATCAAAGATTACACCCACCTTGATCCCCAAGCTCGTCCAAAGGAGTTTCCTGAAGAACAGTGAGCCATACTCGGGTTATTGCAGCCCAGGACATCCGGCAGCATCTGAAAGCCATCACAAGAGGTATGGCAGGGAACGGCATTAAATTAAAGTGGGGCTAAACATGACAAGAACAGGGGGAGAAAACCAAGGAAAACATACAAGGATTTGGTTTAAAATCATGCTATTTTAATGAACACTCCTAAGGCTTCTTTAGAAAGTTAGGAGGAGAGATTATATATCCTGCTAAAATAGGTTTATCCGTTCAAAGAAACCGTCCTACCTGGCCATGGTGGTGTGGCTGGAGCACTGCTGGGGGGCTTTCCTGGAACAGTCACAGGTACAATTTCTCATCAGCATTGTCCTTGTCTGCAGTGATGGGAAAGAAATCACTGTCAGGCTGGAGGTTTTTTATTTGATTTTGAGGTAAGTGCCCTCTTGAGTTGCTTTCCTAGAGCCAGGTTTGTGTAATGGGTTGCCCTTTAAAAAAACCTAACAGATAAAATAATGAGTTCGTGTAACTCCATGACAAAACTATGTAAAGAGCTCAATTTAATCTTCTATATAAAGTGGCATATAAATTTAAGACTTGGAGGGATCAGAGCCATAAGAAGGCATCCAGTGGGAAGGGTGTTTGCAAAATGGTCACTGTCCCTAGTTATGAAAGTTGGCTCTATGTTAATCATTCCTTAAAATACTCACACTTTTTTGTTTTACAAGTGTCTGGAGCACTTTAAATGAGACATTTATTGAGCTGCAGGGTGGGGAGTGGATGAGGATGGACAGAACTGGGTGATAAACTACAGATGTACCCCGGCCAGAATAAATAAATCACTTGAGACTAAGTGGATCACAACTGATTCCCTCATGGAACTTGGAAAACTTTAATGTAGTTGAGGTTTCTGGTGCACCAGTAAACCCAGTGAGCTGCAGAGGATGGGGCAAGAACATACTGGCCAAAAGGAAAAAAACACCTATTTTTATTAACAGCCACAGGGTAAATATCAGTAAGACTCATACAGCATGAAATGATGGAATAATGTAATGTACAGATATTAAACATGTTTATTTCAGTGTGGCAGAGGCTGCTAGAAAAGGCTCAAAAACTTACTGCTGGTCTCCTGTAAGCTTTAATAATAATCTAAAGCATATTAAAATCAAGTTGATGCATTTACTCAATGGTTATACATCCACATCCAAGCTTTGGGTGCTTCCAAGGGCAGAAGGAACCTGGTGAAGTCAGTGTTTTCCTCAACTGCTCCTCAGAGCAAATGTCTCCAGGAGAAATTCATGGGCTTTGTGTGACCTGGGAGACTTTAAAATGGTTCTAGCAGGGTTTTCTGAGAAGAAATCTGCATTTATACATTATTATGGAGGTTAAGTTACCAAATACAGTAAATAAATCCCTACTCTGAAATCTCATTTTACAAGAAAAAAAAAAAAAAAGACATACTGAGGATGGACTTTAAAAGTTCTTGGCAGGCTCAAGATTTTTATGTTAAATCACTGCAGGTGCTTCCATTGGGCTGGACTCATTTGTGGTTTGCTTTGGGTCTGTTGTTTGAATTTCCAGCTGATTCCTCTTGCTTCCGAATGGAAAAGCTTGGCCAGATAAGTACAAATCCCTAATCAGTGGAAACAGAACGTGTGCTGTAGGTGTCCTTCTGAATGGGACAAGAAACAGGATAATATATCTATCATTAAACTGAATGTGGATCTAGGAAGGGGAAAATACCAGAGGAAAAATTTAATGAAGAGGGAAATAAAATGCAACTCTTTCTTAATAAATCAATCATAATTTTGCTGTTTCTATTAGGTTAAACATTAGTTTTATTTGCTGCCTCTTACCTTATCCTGTTCCTGTTACAGTGGTGTGGCCACAAGTTGTGAGTCCATGACAGTGATGGAACATTCACTTCTCACTTTGGTGGGTGTGGAAAAAGCTACTTAATCATTCTGTTTTAAGTCAAAAGATCTATTTTCAATGTTTACTGTTGTCTGTGAACAATTTAACCCTTTTAAGGGTTCATGTTCAAATAAAAAAAAATACAAAGGTTAATCATTATTTTTAAAAGCATAATCTGAAAAATATTTTATGTTGTTCTGGATTTTTTTTTTTAATTTTTTTTTTTTATAACCAGACAGCATCTCAGCTATAGAATTCCAAGGTCAGAATACAAGTTCTGGCTGTGTAGAACTGCTGATGACATTCTGTCCCACTCACTTCTGTCACTTTTACATATAAATTATTGAGACAATGTGCCAGTATCATTTGCCATGAGCTAGAGAAGAGCAATTTTAATGAGTAATAATGACATAAAAACTTTCCAAGCAATCATCTGTTTGTCAGCAGTAAAGTGAATGTGAATTTGGGAAAACTCTGGGAACATTCTTGCTTTGCCAATATATTTTTGTACCCAATAAAACTGTACCAATGAATTCTGAGTGTGGACAAAGTTAACAGCCCTTATGCCCAAGCCAAATCCCAAGTTTCTGGTTGTTTTATCTCTCTCTTTTGTGTCCTGCCAAAAAGATAAGAAACATGTGGGCACAAAAGAAAAATTATTGCTTGGACTGTTCTACCAGCCAGTGAATCTGTTTCCTGTAAATGCAACTTTAACAGAAAAATTCAGTTAAGTAAATAGAAAAGATTAGTGAGACAAGAAGCAATATCAAAATAGCATTTGAAATAAAAGAGTAGTAAGTAATTAAGGGGTTTTTTTATTAAGTATTTGTCAAAATTTAAATCTTTAACTCCAGATGGCAGATGAGTTTAAAGTGATGTGTGACAATTAATGTTAATTTAATCCCACATGGATCTATCTTACTGTTGCTGTGATCAGATCTCCACATAAATAACATAAATAATGCTAATTAATAATTTATTTTGCATTCCACTGAGGAATAATTAATGAAAGAACAAAGCTATTGTCCCCCGAGTGACATTCTGGTGCTCTCTGAGCATGTAACAGCACAAGTCTGTGATGAGGGATGTCAACTGTCTTAACCCTCCTTGTGCACTTAGGAAAATACTTTGGTGTTCGTGTTTTAAAAATTCCTCTTCTTGCCTTACCGAGGAGGAAAGTGAGGAATGGTCTGATGGAGGAGCCTCTTCAGCAGCTGGACAGGAGCCTGATCTTGGATTTGGCATCTCTGGATGCTGTGTTGCCACACTCCCATTTCCAGACTGTGCTCTGGGATCTATAACTAATACAACTGTAAGGTTAGTCACTTTAAGAA